AGGTACTTATTATTTCAAGAGAAGTGTTTGCAATTCTTCTTATATACCTTGGTAGGTCCTTCCCATAGTGAGTGTATAGTCACTCCGAAATATTCAATATTATTCGTGAATTCTATTTCAATAATATCTAATACTGTCTGATTCCCGAAAATCAAGAAGTTTATTTGTATATCTACAAACAGGAAGAAAAATGTTCATTCGAAGTTAGTTGTCAATAAGTTGAAGTTGAACCACCCAATAATAGGTTTCATGTCAAATTGAATTTCCTGATGTAGTGTAGAATGGAACAGTGAACGGCCCCAAACCTGTGCCTTGAAGTATACCATGATTCACAATTTCTAAACTCACACACTCATCAATTTCTCCACGCTGCGTACCATATAATGTGACGCCTACTCACAGATTCAAGTATACGACGTGGAAAATACTGCAAATATAAGAGTTGAAGGATTTCATCTGAACTATATCTCTTGACACTTCTTAATCCTTAAACGATCAGATGCGAATCGCTAAATGGTAAAGAAGACTTTCAACATTAGTGAACGATCTCTTCATTCTGTTCACAAAGATATATATTGCTGATGTTTCCTGAAGCATTGAATCAAGCTTGTCCATAATAAAATTTAGATGGCTGTAGACACAACCGAAATGGCATGGAGACAAAACAGGCATCTTTTGACTAAGTACTCTGTCGGTTTTTCAAGTAAAATAGGTTATTCCGTAGAGGTGCAATACGAATTTGTTCTCTCAGTAAGTGATAAAATGTATTTGATATAAACCCTTACAAGTTAATCCGGTACATCGTATTTTAATGTATAGATATTGTGCCTAATTCCCGAAAATGGAGTTTTATCGAACTTGTTCACAGGTCACTAATTCTTCAGGTTGGAAAAGTAGGATTTATAAGCAAGCCAATGTTAGATTAGTTCATCGTACTAGTATATCACCTGACGAAGCTACTGTGTTAGCGAAACATGTCGTGTGTTTGAGAATTTTGTGGAAATCTTATCGTTTGTGAAGTTTTTACATTTGCCATGGATTTCTATCAAGTAACGGCCGAGCCAATTCAAAAACTGATATAGATAGAACATGGTATTCACTATTGAAAGGACCCCGCACGAAAACACGGGAAATTGGCTCTCGGTCGAATCGGCTGAATTTTTACTATGTTTTTGTGGGATGGCTCATTAGGAAAATCTGTGAGTTTAAGAAGTTTTGTATGTTTAGTTTCTGAGATATAAGTCGTATCGGGGTAGGATTGACAAATATTGTTCAATATTGCGTTTCATTTAGATACAGGGTGTGTTAGATTTTGTTGGAGATTATTTAACACGTTTCAATTGAATATCTCGAAAACAGTTCCGTTAATTTGGATCTCATTTTACTGACACTATTTTGAATATGTTGACTATCATATGCGAAAAGTTTTTCAATTTTTTATGTTTCGTTTCTGAGATATCATTTTCACAGTATATTTATTATATTACATAGGGTTACAGACTTACAGAACTTTATGGAATCTTTCGAACATTCAATCACATTATGAGACAATTAGAAATCAATAATTTTTAACTATAAACAACACTTACCACATTGAAAAACAATATGAAACTCAACAGTATGGATTCCGTAAAGTTCTGTTGAATCGATAGTAATATCCGAGGTAATAACCCTATATAATACCTGTAATACTGTGAACTCAAAAATGCATATCTCAGAAACAAAACATAAAAAATTGAAAAACTCTTCTCATATGATAGTCAACATATTCAGAACAGTGTGAGTAAAATGAGATCCAAATTAACGGAACTGTTTTCGAGATATTCAATTGAAACATTTTACATAATCTCCAACAAAATCTAACACAACCTGTATCTAAATGAAAATCAATATTGAACAATTGAATTCGCTAGTGAGTAAACTCAGCTTTCAATAAATCAACAGTATCAATCAATCCCTTTTTCTGTGATCAAAAGCGAGCAGTCCATTGTTTTCCAAAAGGGGTATAACACAAAATTCAGAGAATTCATATTCCGAACAGAGATAGTTATCAAGAATGAAAATACGTTTTCGAAGCCTACAATAGACTGAAACTATAATGTCTCACCAAAATATAACTTGTTAGTTTTGGAATAGTGCTCGACTTTTTTTTTTCGAAAAATGAATTTTTTGACCGTGCCTCGTATACACCCTGATTCATTATAATTTATGTGATCATAACTAGACATGTATTTGAGTTCCGATCAATACATTTTCTAGCTTATTTTGTCTTATTTATAAAAAAAACAGTTTTTTTCTTTGTCAATCCTACCCCGATACGACGTTTTTACGTACTTTGTCGGCTTATATCTCAGAAACTAAACATACAAAACTTTTCGAACTCACATATTTTTCTGATGAGCCATCTAACAACAATATAGTATAATTTCAGCGAATTCGACCGAGAGCCAATTTCCCGTGTTTTCGTGCGGGGTCCTTTGGAAAGGAAAATGGTTAATTCAAGATTAATAAATGACCACATTCTGTGACTCATATGATTGCCAATGTCACCAATTGTCACTGAGAAATGTAGAGTATCAGGAGAAATACGAATTAGCGATAAAAAAATCCAATTTTCATGTTGAGAACGGGAGCAGATTCGTTCCCGAAACGTCCAAAGCTAAGTAAAAATTTAGAATTTCTCTATATACCTTAATTTCTCTTCTCAAAACTTTTTTCGATACATATTGTCACTATGACAAGTTAGTGAATGTTTCTTCTAGGATCTTTGATAGAAAAATTTTATAAACGCAGTGACATTTTGAGGCGAATCATCTGATTTGTCCTTACTACACCTATATTGAAATGATATTCATATTTCTATTTTATATAGAAACAAGGAGTGAAAATTTCAAAAATCTGGAATAATGAATTGCTTCTTTATTTTCAAAACAGAATGATTAATGATGGCGCTATGGCTGTGAGCCATGTTTGAGTCAGCCTTTATACATTGTGAACAAGAAACAGATCTTTCACAAGAGTTGAAAAGATACAGGGTTTTTCTATTTGAAAAACATAATTTGAAATCTTTTTTGATTTCGCGATTTGCATCTGTTCGTTCAAGGAGTGCCACAATATAGTAGGTAGCAACAGATGAAACCGTCGAAACCCAATACAACTTTGATGTTTCAAGTTTTTCTCTACCTCGTGGGGTCAAAATACAGGATGTTAAGAAATAAGTGTTGTGACGGAAAAGTGTATTTTTCTAATTGAAAAAGAGAGTTTTTTTTTACTTTTCCGAAATAATTCTCTGGAGAATTTCAGTTCAATTAAACACCCCTCACAACACTCAATGAACTTGAGAATTTGATGGCCAGCACTCAAAAACCTGACATTCAATTGAACATTTTATTTGACAGTTGTACGGTGCTTTATTTTCAGTGGTAACTTAGATTTTTAGACGATTTCTAGAGATACCAGAATTTCCTATGTTGTTGTTCATGAAAAGCCCATTTTCTAGAGAAATTTTCACGCTAGTGCATTGAAGTAAGAGAAAATTTTTCGTGTGAGAGATATTGGCGCTTCAGAATATGATTCAGAACTAACAATTCCTTTTTTTTATCTATTTTTCTGTAATTCAACTTGTCCCAGATAACGTGTTTTTACTTTTACTTTTATTGTATACCTAAATGCTAAAGCTAGTTTCATCTTATGAGCAAAATGTTATTCAACTGTGCCATAAATTAATTTGTAAAACTCTGACCTGTTTCATAGACCAATCAATTTTTTTGTTTTTCGTATAAAATGGGAAATTGTAATCTAATGAAATCAATAAATTTCTATTCTATTCTATTCTATTCTATTCTATTCTATTCTATTCTAGTGGCATGAAAGTTTGAAGGGGTTATACCTTCATGAGGTGTTGAACTCTTCGCCACTGACATGTCCAATAAAATTCATTGAAAGCCTCAAAAGTAGTAATTATCGATTATGAAGTGTGTATAAGCGCTCTGATCCTTACTCAAACGATTTTTTTTTCATGTTCTGGTTCTCACGAATAGGGATATCCTGTAATGTTCAGATAAGAGCAAAAAACTGAAACTCTTCATTTTTTGACTCCCCGTATCTCGAAATCGAAAGCCTGGAGAAGAATTTCGAGAAAAAAATAGTTATCAAATATACAAGGGAAACAAGTAGTAGATTGTATATTGAGAAGATATTACATTAAATTGAAATCAGGAATCTTTATCATTCTTTCGAAGTTATCAAATATCTGCCTGTCTCATCGTGTGATTTCATTAAAAAAATTGTGAGACTGTTTTTGGCTTATTTTTCGGAACTAGCCCAATAAAAGCCAACAACAGTATATATATCCGTGAAAGATTGACTCTCTTTTTTAATTTATGGAAAGTCACATTTGATTAACTGTCGACAGAGATGAAATTCGATTTATTTCTTTATCACCGAAAAAATCTAAATTTTGATTCTGAATATCATGAACCCCTCTCTGCACGCCACTGATGTTAATTATCCTCAGTAGAAATATCCCCCATTGCAGTTTAGATGGTGTCTGTTATTGTTCAACTGAAAAAGGCAACAATTTTAGATAAAAAAGGAACTCAAAGACGTCTCAAGGAACCAACCCAGCAATACACCCAACACCAAAAAAAATCTAGGGTCCCTCACATTTCCCCAATTATTGGTGAAAAATTTTGAATGTTTCTGGCTCTCAGTATCGTGTACGAAGAGAACGATTCGGAAAAAAAGAAACCGGACACCAATGACGCATAGACCAAGGATAACGCTTCCTACCTTTGTTCAAACTCATAAATTTTTCGCCTGTCCTACTTCATCTTTAAATCAGTTTATTTTGAAATATTTTTTCACATCGTATAGTTGAAGATATATGTAGGGATCAGAATATAAGAAGACATACCCTGTGACAATACTAAGACGATTCGAGGACTGTTCATGAAAGTGAAGAAAAACTTCTGGAAATGAGAAAGAAATCTTTGTTCCAGATTCTCCTTGACCAGAACGGAAACTACCGACCCCGCCCATAGCCCCGCCCCCTCGCGCAGCAACTCGGGCGACACGAACACGCCCGGCTTCCCCAAGGTCGTGCCGTCCCCGGGGGCGGTAGCGCCCGCCCAGCGCAGGCGCAGCACGCTCGAGTGCCCCGCCCCACCCGCGCCGGGCAGGCGACCTGGCTCGTTCCGGCAGCGGGCGACCAGGGCGACGCCTGAACGACCGCCCACCTTTTGTTGCCGAAGACAGAGCTGGCCCGAGATCGACCATCAAGTTTGCTCGGGGTGAGTTACGACCAAAGACCCGCCTAGTTGTACTTTCTTGTATGAAAATTTGGGCGAGCAACCAAGTTCTTGTCACGATAACGACATGCCCATCGATTTAACAATTTCAAGATGTGATTTTCATCGTGTTTTCGAATTATTCTATAATTTGATTGTTTCTGTTTGAATCTGAGTAGGTTTCAACCATGGTGTTTGCCTGAACTTCAGAATTTGGTGGATATTTTCAAAGTTGTGTCCATTATAATATCCTAGATAGTGTGTACAGTATGTTGCCGACTTTGATATACTGAACGGATATTCCATTGAACGAACCTCAAAAAATGGACAGTTTTTCCGATATAGACCTCCAAATGTCATTTTTTTGACAAAAAAAGTATCTGAAAATGGTTGGATTTTCCGCATGTTGTAGATAGGAATGAACTGGTGAAAAAATGCAATTGACCTAACCTCCAAAAATTGACAGTTTTCTCGATATTGACCTCCAAGTGTAATTTTTTCAAGTAAAAAACTCTGAAAATGGCTGAATTTCTGGTATGTTGTAGATAAGAATGAACTGATGAAAAAATCCAATTGACCTATCCTCAAAAAATTGACAGTTTTTCGATATTGACCTCCAAGTGTACGTATATAGAAAATAAGATGAATGGAACAATAATCAATAAACTAATAAGTTGCCGTTTCCGAATTAGTATTTGGCCTTTCGTTCTTCTAAAAACAAATCTTCTTCAATGATACATGCACAGGTGCGAAGAAAACTGAAGAGGAGATATAATTGAATAAATATTATAGTCTTTCCGAATTCAATGAAACCCTCCAGTCGAATTTATGCCATATATCTATTTTATTTTGATCATTCCATCTATTATCAAATTCGATACATCCCAAATATATTTTCTTAAATAATCAAAATGATCACCTCTCAGCAACACTATATAGCCGCTGATGACGTGACATTGACATACCGATATCGATAAGCACTTTTAGATTTTTATTGCTCAACAACCAATGAGAATATTTCCGAATTCTTCATAGAATTAAGGATTTATTTCCACAATAGGAGTGGAGTGTTGTGTACTGAAGCATACACAATACATAAATCGTATGGTATAGTATAATTGCAATGGATTGATCGCGGTAGGTATATAACGTCGTCACGCGTTGTCCCACAATCTTCATGTTATGAAATATCGTGAATTTCAATAAATATTTACGATATGTAAAGAGATCTGAAGAGCAAACGGTCTGCGACAGTGAACAAAAACTGTCTTTATTTTGAGGTTAGGTCAATTGGATTTTTTCATCATTTCATTCCTATCTACAACGTATACTAGAAATTCAGCGATTTTCAGAGATATTTTTTCTTGAAAAAAATCACATTTGGAGGTCAATATCGAGAAAACTGTCAATTCTTGGAGGTAAGGTCAATTGGATTTTTTCATCAGTTCATTCCTATCTACAACATGCCAAAAATTCAATCTTTTTCAGATACTTTCATTTGTTGAAAAATGACATTTGGAGGTCTATATCGAAAAAACTGTCAATTTTTTGAGGTTCGTTCGATGGAATATCTGTTCAGTATATCAAAGTCTGCAACATACCAAAAATTCAGCGATTTTCATCGAGAGCCATTTTCCCTATTATTTAGTGCGGTGTCCTTTGTTTCATGATATATTTTGTAGTCACCAATTTTGGTGATTTCAAATTTGTCGTTTAGAAGGGATCGGTGCATCTTCGTGGGAGTCGTAAATATGTTCGGGGTGAGCCACATCCCACATGTCACACCCTTATTTCTTCCCTTTTTGTGCTGATTCTATATAGTATTTTTAGAACTTTTTAAGGGGTCATAATTTTCGAGCTTGAAGACTTATCAATTACCTCTCTTCTATTGCTCTTGTAAAAATTTCCTATACCGCATATAGTTTATTATTCGAAGAAAAAAACAAGTCCTCTCAAACATCGCTACCAGATACTCCTATAGTAAAAGAGTACGAGTTCAATGAAATTGTTGTATAAAACTTAGTTAACAGTGAAAACAATGCAGAACGTTTCTTCATAATACATGTTCAATATGACGCTAACCTTCATTTAAACGAATATCAATTCGACATGAAAAATTGAAATGCACCCTCCTTATTAGAACATCGTCGTTGTCTCGTATAGTGCGTCAACAGCATTTTGGATTCTGTTCCACAGTTGTTCGAAAGTATATCAATTTGAACTCCATACACTTGTGTCAAATCTGGAGACCGCGGAGGCCATCAAATAGGTGCTTAAATTATTCGTTCAGATATTGTCTTGATGTATGAAGAATTGAAGAATTTTTTGAAACATTTACAGACAACGTCAACAACAAACTTGAATGACAATAAATTCGTTTTCTGTCAAAATCACGACTTGCCTTCGTTCCCACTGCCAACTGAGTTTCATTTCACAATTTGATTTTACTTGTTCTGGAAATATCTGGTAGAATTATTATTTGAGAGAGAAATTATTTTCTTCGAAACTTTGTAGTATAGGAAAAAAGGACCCCGCATTTTTTCTATATAAAAATGGCGTTCCGTCGAATTTCCCCAATTTTTGGTAAATGATAGTACTCGACATACTGATTGAATATGCCAAGTCCCAACTCAATCCTATGACTAGTTTACGAGATACAGGGTGTTGAAGTTGAAGAATACCTAATTTTTCTCGGCCTATATCTCTAAGATAGGACAAATGAATTCCAATTTTTCGGGAGCACGTAATAGTTATGCCCTTAGGCGCAAGAACTATATAGGTATTCGACCAAAACTGATTTTTATTACAGGGTGATTCTCATTTCAAATAATGTGTTTTTTTGAATATCTGAATATCAATGCTACAAATTGATAACAATTACAAAATGAGATTTATAGCCAAGTATGCTCTTCTTACATCAATTGAATTCGTAAAATATAATAATTATACATGGTGTTTCATTAATGCTGTTGATTGCATAATTGGTCTATCCTAAAGTTCATTGGGCCACCTCGTATTATCGGGTTGATTCCAGACATTCAAAATATTTTTGAAGGATGTATCCCAATGAGTTCCATGATATACAGAGTGATTCATCGATTGAAAAAATTGACAACCACGAAAAAATATTCAAAAACCACTATTTTTTTCATCACCCTCTAATTCGAAATTATTACCGTCGATGTAAGATTTTTTTCCACCAATATACTCAGTATGGATATTTCAATCAAATTGGGAATTTTCAGACCCATGCTATGACTAGTTTTTTTTATACATCGAATAATGTGAAAATAATTATGGAAAAGTAATTACATAATAACACGAAAAATTGCTCCGAATCGCAAAACTAGTAGTCACTAGTCAACTATGTCAAAAAATGTGATTTGTTCGTAAACAAAATCTAGTGGTCTTATTATAGGTCCGCTAGCAAAACATCTCGAAAATGTTTTTCAGAAAACATCAAACAAATCACAATATGCCCCCGAAAAAATCTCATCAACGACACAACTATTCTACGCACCCCTTACATCAACTTTCAACTCATCAACGATCCCACTCATAAACGTGCTAAAACTCATGAGCGTTCGAAGTCGACAGCGGTTTTTCCCAACTCAATCCTATGACTACTTTTCGAAAAAAGTATGAAACTAAACTTCCGCAAACGCCTAGTAAGAGGTGCGCGTTAATATATTTTGCAACTCTCCTTTATCCAACCAACTTCCAATCTTTTGATCATACTGTATATTGTTAGAATCGAAGTTAGTATATGCACATCGGAAAGACACTAAAGTTGGAGTTTTGGTTATGTAGATATTCGTTACCGGGTTCAGTATAGACTTGAAAGAAAAATGGAATACAGGAACATCAGTAGGTACCGAGGAATCATCATTTATCCAACACATCAAAAATATAGTAAAATAATAATGAAACAATCTCGAAGCCTCTTTCTTCCACTCAATATCAATTCAGAATTGCAATCATAGATTTTGAAAAAATACATGAACCAACTCGTTTTCCAACAACATCTATTTGTTGGAAGAAATAGTGGCATTAGGTAATGTATATCGTAAGATATACATACCGTAATAGATCGATAGACATCCTCAAATAACTATAAAATTATATTTTAGGGTAAGTTCTAGTCCCAATTCAAGTTGACAACTGATATTTTCGGAATCGGCGGGGTCGAATTTCGAATTAGTCTAGAAACTTGGGTTGTCACGAATTAATAAGTATGTTTTACTTCGTAGAAGTCGAATTTGGATTATCGCAACCAGATAGAAGAATATTTTTCAGTAGGCTTAGAAAACAAAATCATGATATCAATAAATGTGTCTGTCATCCAGCAACTTTCGGGTTGTCAGTATCTTAAAATATCATATCAGCGTATATCTTTATTCTGAGTGTTTTTTAAGTCGTTTTCAGTAATTGTTTAGTGAATTTAGTGCGCATTATGGCATTTGCAAATAGGGTAAGATGTTATGTATGCGAAGGGAATTTCATTCCTAGACTCACAATTCGTATAAATCGTGAAGATAATGTTGATTTTCTGCAAATTGCAACATTTAGAAGACAAGCTGCTGGAAATCCTCCAATTGACATTTTTGATGATACCAGAGTTTGTTTCAATTGTCATAACAGTGTAATAATTGATATCAATGAGATGGAAAATAACCCAAACTTTCTTCGCCTAAATGTATTGAGTCCAGTAATGAGCCGTGCCTGCATAATCTGTAATGCTCGTCAACATGTTCAGAGAATAACTCTTGCATGTAGGGTGAACATTTTTGTTGTAACGAATATTTATGTTCCGGACTTTCTGAGAATTTGTGGTCATCATCTTGACCCTCATGGATTTCTCTTGAATAATTTGCATGGAGGTTTGAATTTTATCAACAAACCCTATTTGATATCAAATATGCTTCAATTTCTACAGTGTATGAGAACAGTTGCCAATGAAAATAGACGTATTAGAAACTGGGATGATATTGATAGTTTTACAGAAGA